ATTATTAGTGTTGTTATTGTTAATTATCATTGTTATTATATAATTATTGGTGGAGTAGCGTAGTGGTGGATGGTGGTGGTGGACAGGTGGTGGGCTGGGTTAGGGTTAGATATTGGCGATGGGGGGCTGGTGCCGGTGGTGGTGCCAAGTGATTTTTTATTTTTTGTTTTATAGTGTTTTCTGACGGAATTTCCGTCGGAAATTTCCAACGGACTCTTCGGGTCGGAAAATCTCCTCCGACGACTGAAATTTCGTCGGAAAAGGCCATTTTTCCTACAAAAACGTTTCCAACAACCGCTTCTGACGGAAATTTCGGCGGAAATGGGTTTTTCCGACGGAATAATTCCGTCGAAAATCGACTGTTTTCTAGTAGTGTATAAAGGTCTCATCAAGATTAATTTCATGTTGCCTAAGACTCCCTAAAATCCTTTGAACCTCATGATATTGTTCCATGACCGGACTACTATCAACAAACTTATAATTGTTAAATTTACTATAAAAGAAATTTTTGCTAGATGCATCTTCGGCCATATACTTTGACTCTAAGTCTTCCTAAAGCATTTTAGCAGAATCATGAAACAAATAAATATCAAACAACTCATTTGATATACCATTCAAGATGTGCCCACGACAAATTTAATCATCATTCTCCCATTTGTTGCCTTTCCTAGTTGCCTCCAATGCCTTGTTTTCCTCCTTCGTTGGCTTCGGGGAAGTGAGAACATACGCCACTCCAAGTGAGGTCAACAGAAAGTGCATCTTTTTCTGCCATCTTCGAAAACCAACTCCTTCAAACTTGTCCAACTTTTGAAAATTTGATATCAATTCTTTCTTTGTTGCCATCTTTGTAGAATTATTACTTTGGATTGTTGGGGAAAATCGAGTACCGGGTCACAAAAATCGCAACGAACTTGAACAAATTTACATTTCGAGGCATGAACAAAATCACTTTCCCAAAGTAATATTTCGACCCTGATTAAACACACCGGGTATCACGAAATTACTAGGAGATACAACGAAGACAACCACAATAGTGTGTAGTAAATTATGATGATAATAATTGGAAGTTTGCAATTGGTTTTCAAGAGAAAAATAAAACTAACTTTTTCCTTGAATATATCTCAACATATGTATTTTGTACATATATATATTAGAGCAAATGAAAATGCCAAAACCCATGAATAAACTGACAAACAAGCATCATTAACTTCTCAGCCTGACTTGCGCCTTGCCGGGCCAACGACCGCCCGACCGGGCCATTCTGAACAACGCAAGCAATGACCTTCTCGTGCCCGGTCGGGCGGCGGTGGTCCTACCGGGCGGCAAAGCCACGAAATCCAGAATGAAGACTCGCGCCCTGTAGGGCGGTAAAACCCACAATCGGGCTGCAAAACTGTTGTTTTCTTCTCCACGCTCGCGCTCGGTAGGGCGGCGGCTGCCCGACCGGGCGGTGGAGCAGTGTCCCATAACCATCCTCGTGGGCCTGGTCGAGCGAGCACCACCCAACCTAGCGGCAGACCGGGCAACTGGTAGGATGCTTTCTTAGCTTCTCTAAACCGAGATACTTTATCCTTTCTACCAAGGTTATTTGCTCTAATAATCTTGATTAATTAATTCACAACACCATAACCTAAGTAAATTAATCAATTAACATGAATTATGTCTACAATTCTCAAAATTATTCAACATCTATTAGGGTTCAGCCTTGAGAGAAGACTACCCTAGTTTTGTTTATGATCATTCACATATTAACAAATGTTTAATGGGATTTAAACAAATGTTCATTTGAATTTAAATAATACGTACATGTTCATTCTCATATTGTAGATATCCACATAGATTGTAATAATACATGCTCAACTTTATATTAAATTAATATATGTTCATGAGCGTCATTTGAATATCATAACATACATTTTAACTGTAATATTGATAGATGTTTATTCGAATATTGATACATAAATGTTCATTTGGATATTTGTATATTCACACATATATTAATGTATGCTCATTCACATATTAAAAAATGTTCAAAAGGTTGACACACACAAATCGAGAAATGGGCCTTTTTTTTTTTTTTTTTTTTGTATTTAAGAAAAGGAAGTGGTTCAATGGTTAAAAGGTTGATAAGTATACTCGAAGGTCGTGGGGTTCAAATCTTTAATCAAGCATTTTTTGAGAATCAAGGTTGGCCAAGTAGTTGGAGGTCTTCCTTCCATCCCCGTGAGAGGGGTTCAATTCTCACCCCAAGTAAGTGGGATCCCTAATTTCCCCCTACTTGTAAGAGATTTCTCCTTACCTTAAATAAAACATATTAAAAAATGTTCAAAAATAAATCACATATTGTTCATTTATCATAGACCTTTGATGATTCTATTTTAAATATAATATAATCTTATAGTATTTCATCCACATATAATATCAATATATATTAAGTTGTATTTTGACATATTAAATTATTAATTAATGGTCATTTACACATAATAGATATTCATTTGGATTTTGATATATGTTAATAAATGTTCATTCAGATTTTATACTTTTTCATTCGTTCTCATATTGAAAGATTTTTATTACTTTGTAGTGTGTTCATTTCGTCTATATTCATAATTGTTATTCAATCGTAAATGTTCAATTTTGAATTCTTAGATTTCACGTACTTTTATTTGGAATGTGTTCATGGTTGTTATTAATTTTTTTTTTTAAAAAAAAACTTGATCTCTTATTGTACAGGATAATCAAGTAAGGAAGTCGAAGGCGACATATATATAGTGCTCAGATTATATTTTTCTTAAAAAAAACACAAGAGGTGCAAGGAGAATATATCTAGACACTTTATTATACCAAATGTAACAAAGAATGTTCATTTAACAAGACACATATGTACATTTAAGATTTAATGGTTCACTTTCATGTTTATGAAACAATTACATACATGTAATACTATAGAAATGTGTTATTACTGTAATTAAATTAAATTTATTTTATATTTATTTTTTAACAACGTTTTATTTAATTATAAGACTTATGTATTTGCATCATCTTACTATATAAGTTATGAACATTTGATGATACAAAATGGAACATCTGTTGAAACATAAATAAACAAAAATGAACATTTGGTGATGCAATACTTCTTATAATAGAGATGATTTGAACGCAGTACTCTTTATAAATAAATTTGCTCTCATTTTTATTTATAGAAAATTCTAAAAATACAATTAAGAAAATATATTAATTGAACAAAAAAAACTCGTTGTAAAAATGAATATCTAATGATACAAAAATGAACATTTACCAATATAGAAATGAACATTTTATAAAAATTTACAGCAAATTCATAAATGAAAAGCGGAGGGGGCGGGGCACGCACGGAGGGTGGGGGTGTAGGTAAAAATTTGTAGCAATATGAGTAGCACACTTGAATTATAAACCGAAATCCGATCCCTTTGTTTTCTTTTTCAATATGGGATAAACAATACTCACACTTGTACTTAACAATCTTCCCCTCAAATGCGAGCCTATACACTCCCCCTTGAACATAAACGCACCAAGAACCTACAGAGCCCAGCTATAAGGCAAGATGACACTCATAGACGAGCCTTATCGCCATAAGGCCTAACACAGACGATGCCCTTAAAAGATGGTGCGATCAAACCTAGCTCTGATTAATGTGATATAACAAATGAGGGAGAAACAAGGTAAAGAAATTCAGAAGCCCACAAACCAGAGCCCAAAGCAAGGTTCCATCTTAAAATTAAACCACTTGATAATGGGAGGAGTAGCCCCTTTAGATTGTAAATTGAAAGTCCTTTACTTTCTTTTTTAATATAGGACAAATCAATACTCACAATTGCAACTAACAAAATGAGTCATTAGATCGTAAACAAGACTACAAATATTTAATAGTCGAGTATCTGAAGATAAGTCCGTGTTAAGGTTAAAAACAAAAATTATATGACTAATGTATTTTAAAGTGTTCGAGATATAGTAGGGTAAACTATACAATAGACATATATTGGTGTTTGATATTTGCGGAGGACAAAATATGACTCATAAACATAGGAATTGTGTGTTCAACATAAATCAAGAGAACCATTCACTTGTTATTTATTAATTTAGTTCAACTAAGGTAACCAATATACCTATACGTAATTAGCTCAAATGCCCATGAAGGGCCATCTACTCATTTCTGATATTTTGTATCCATACGTTTATGTGTCTACTGGAGGCTGGTAGAACCAAGCAACTCTCTTCTAAATGATCACTGGCTTTATTTATATTTATCTCTTATAAAATAATTCAAAAAATATGATGATGAATATAATGTTGTTGTGTCGAAACAACTTGTGACAAATCATACGTCACATGAAAGAAAACGGATGAATAGAAGGTATGAAAATGATATCCCTTTTGTTTTGGCAATTGGTAAATTTCCATTCGGCAATCAATTACCTGATTAAATCTTGTTTTTTTGGATTTGAATCAATTGTCCGATTAAATCTTGTTTTTTGGATGTTTCTACTTGTATAGTTGTATGTGATGCTACGTATGGTGCAACTTTTACTTTTACGAGTATGAACAAAACACTTCATTGAAAAACGAAAAGGGGGGGGGGGGGGAGATGGTTGACACTATTCACACTAGTACCACTTTATAAAAATTTGTGGCTATAAACTTGTAAGTTGTAACATATTCTCTAGTCGATATTTAAAGACAATTTAGAAAAAAGTTCACATTGTCTATTTATTTTAAGGTATATAATGCTCTTTAAGACTATAATCGTGTATAGTTGAGTTTCTTAATATGATACATACCGAAAGTAATATCATTTGTGGTGGTGGTGTACTGTTGTGACCTAATTCATACAAGTATACAACTTGCTTTGGTGGAGTTTTTGAGTACTATTATGTCTTATCCTTAATTTCAAGAATTAGACAATTTACAGAATAACAACCAATATAAAATTGCAAATTCTACGCATGTAGATCGATGTTATATATACTAATATACGTACTTACATTGAAGAAAAAAAAAATCCTAAGTACAAACAAATTACACATGTTTTTTTTCCCTTTCTCAATGTAGGGAGGGGGAAGAGAATATAACAAAAACACACACACATACACACACACACTCACATGTAGTATTTAAAATATTATGTACAGAGTTTAGTCCATAACAATTGCATCAGTATGTATGTAATGCAAATTACAATACTCATTTTCATATGGAAGTCATCAAATGAGCTGCATTATATATTCCAATATTCTAGTACTCCAACTTTTACAAACTACATCTGCAAGCTGCAACTATCCACAATTCTTGTATTCACAGTTACTCTTTTTTTTGGCTGCATCCTGACGGTTTTCCCTCAGCTCGGATACAATTGAATGATCAAGCCAAATAACTTTGCGTGATTTAAAATAATTTGATCAATAGCAGCAGTATTCCGTGATGAGTGTTACCAATGTGCCTTAAGCTGTGTATTCCCTTACTAAAATGCGGGAGAATCAAAAGCATGTATAGATATATTTTCACCGTATCCTCTAAGCACTTATCTTTACTTATACTGTGCTTCGTATGATATTCATGACTTGTTTCAGGTATTTAGATTATTTCGAATCAAGGCAGCCCAATATCTTGAGCAACCTAAGCAATCTTCGCTCAAATTTGTTCATTCTTTGTGCAATAAAGGGTGGGAAACCCCCCATAGGCGGTCCTAGCTGTTTAGTCGGAGAAAGCATGCTTCTGTTGCCATCGTCATACTGCATGTCTGAATCACTAAGAGTTGTAGTTGCAACTTCTGCAAAATTTCCTTCACGACACTTGTTGTTCTTTCGAAGATAAAAGGTTCTGCTTCCTGCATCCCCAATTGCATCTGATCTTTCCAAACCTATAACCACCATATTACTAGATTACTTAATCATGAGTAAATAGTGATTCAGTCTTTTCAGCCTTGTGCAAAAGTTGGCAGTACAAATACTGCTGAATTCAATTTTCTCAGTTCAGATAATATTTATTTGTCAGACTAATACAAAATTAGTTTTACAGCAAACCGAGTATGCAAGTACAAGACAGTTTATTACTAAAAATCCAGCAACCATCAGTCACGGACCTCAGGTATTCGTATGCAGTATCAGAGCATATTATAAGAGCAGTAACAAGTTTTACATTAAAGGATTCTAGGAAATCAAAAGGGAACTTACTTTGGAGGCTGAAGTAGGAAACATGCAAATCAAAGGAAACAGAATCCTTATCAAGACGAGGAGCTCGGCCTTCTTCTCCGTATTTTTGAACAACCAGCTTGATAGTATCCTCCACACTAGTCCCCAATTTAATCAGGGTCCTAATCGGTCCTGGACTTCCTTCCACGGTCACTGTAATCAACACCTTCGCATCTTTCTCATACGCCTACACAGCCATTACACCCAAATTTTGATTTCTCTTAAAAATTATGCATTCAAAACATCAAAACATATTGTTTCATTGTTTGCATACTCAAAGAATACAAGGATAAATACATATTGCAACTGTAACATTAAAGAGAAGCTCACAAGACTGATTTCAATTCAGTCTTTATCAACTGTTACGTACGCTCACCAGTCACCCATCACCCATCTATATACCATATTATATCTATTCACCAAACTAACTACTTGTATTTAGAATCCGTATATTAGTTACTTGAAATGTCAATCAGTCAATACACTACTACTTGTCAGTTTAATATACCAATATTACAAATTTAAAATTTGTCATTAGTATGTATTTAAGTATTTCCATAGTTGCTTAATTAACAAGCATACGACTCACACTAACTGATCATTAAGAAAATTGAATATGGAGTACAAGGTCTTATGAGTACATAGTACATGATGAATATGTTTGTGAGTCATTGAACCCCATGTTAAAAGATAGAGGTGAAGTGCTCTAGTACACAATGTAAAAAGGGAAAAAAAGAAAAAGAAAAAAAAAAAAAAAGAAAAAGAAGACAGATTCTTCAACCAAAAAGAAAGGAATTCTTCATCACTAAGTAAACATGCGTAGCCTAACAGAGGGCTGCAACAATTGTAATTATGAAATCAAAACTTCTATCTGGGTGATTTCACAAGTATCCTTCACGGTTACATCTCCTAAAAAACGTGCAAGTCAACTACAGAGTAGCTACCATAATTTAGTAAAGTCTCGAGGTAGAATTCGATCATAATCAAATTCCGTCTATATCACTAATTCATGATCATGGAAACATTACTTGTCAATTCAGTGGTAGACTGGTAGGTTAATAATTTGTGTAAAAAACACACAATTTCAAGAAATGGAAAGTCAAAGCAACCCCATTCCTCTTTCTTTTTTATCAAACTTCATTTTTTCCATAAAAAGATTGTTGCCTAACTCAAATTCCATACCCAAAAATGAACCGTACTTTTTTTTTTTTTTTTTTTGAAGGAACATTTTTTTAATTTAATTTGCATAATTATCTCTTTTTTTTTTTTTTTTTTTTGAAACCACGCATAATTATCTCTTAAAGTTTAACAATTTGTTCAAAAATAAAAATCATAACAATAACACAATTAGGTTAAAAAATAAGTAAAAATGAATGCATTAAATTTCAAACAATATTTTTTTTTTTTTTTTTTTTTTGAAAAACAGAGAAAACAAAGCAGGTGTACATACCGCATTAATTCGGTACAAAGGAGAGTCAATTGCGTCAGAAGTACCAGACAATACATCATCCAACGTATGAAACCGCGTCAACCACCCACTTTCGCCGGAATCAAAACTCCGGCTATCATCAACAACACTATCACCGTCACCAACACCCTTAAATATCAGAGGCTCCGAATAACATTTGCTCATTACTTTCGTAGGCTTAGGGGACTGCCTTGACTGTTTCGGCTTCTTCGGCGACGACGATGATGACGGAGACGAGAGTATCCGTTGAGGGATACGGAGATCACGGCCCGATGGAGGGCCGCGATGACGGAGATCATTTGTGGTTGTATCGGGTGACATGATAATGAAAGAAAAGATTTAAGGGGTAACAAAGTTGGACTTTGGAGAAGAAAGAAGGAGGAAGTTGCTTAAGTTGACAGTTTGGTTGGTTTTTTAGTTTTTGATTTATATTGGGGATTGAGGAGAGAGAAAATGGTGTGAAAAATGTTGGGTAAAAAGGCTAAAATCTAATGGTTTGGATTGCTTGGAAATGGGGTTATGTTTCCACAAAAATAAGCTCTGTTTTTCCTAGAAGGCATAAATGGTCTAACTTCCTCTTATTACGCTTCTCAAGTTATTGCTTTACTCAACTTATAAATATGGATAAGAATACTGTACATTAATTGTGGTGTCTTCCCTTGAAAAAAAGGCCGGTGTGTGCAATTTCTGTTCTCTCTCGCTATAATTTTACTTTGCACTATTTATGTATTGGTAAGCATGATAAAAGAAACCGGTCAAGTAAAGAAGAACGGAGGAAGTAATATTTATTTGTACTATTTTTATCTAAATTTATTAATATTTATTTGAGCTATTTTATTTTTTCTTCAAATCAATTAAAACAAGTTGATCAAATATGTGAATCTTATGACCAAAGAGGTAGGGTGTTTGATTTTTATTTTACTGGGTTGGCTAACGTGTGCAGTATGCTCGTCATAGCTAGCCATGTTTGGAGAGCTTTTTCAATATTTGATAATATTAATGGGGGAAAGTATGTAAACAAATATTTTTATCCGTACATTATTCTTAAGAGTTCAAAAAAAAGGTAATTAACATTATCATGATATAATTTAAGCATAAAAATAAATACGAAGTAATTGATTATATAGACAAATATTTAATTTTATATTATATGGAGTATATGTGGCAAAGTATGGGGGTTGCATGGAAAATAGAAAATTGGTATGAACAACGCAAATTTAAAGGGAGGAAATTCCGTGGAGAATAAGAACAGAAATATATTTTAGTCGCACGATATGCTAAGAAGAATATGGTGACAAATTGTTGGGCAACCGAAATCTTTAGAGTTGAAACGATGATCCCAAAAGAAACTTGGGATGCTACGACTTCTAAATCATGTGTAGATTTGTTTGAAAAATCAATTTGCCCCCCTAAAAGCAACAATTCTAGCCCCAGAGATTGCACCAAACCCATGGATTTGTGTACCATAACATAAGACTTTGCTCTTACCGATAAGAGTGAAAAATAAATATACGTGATACGCAACACTTTGCTTTTCATGTTTTTGTACAACTAACTTATCCATACGAAAAACTACTACAACAATATTAAAGCTCTATTTACGTAGTATAAAAGGTTGGAGTCGATGAATTAATGAATTATGAGTATTTCCTGTGTGCATACATGGAAATAATCTTACGGAGTACTTCATATTTCTTTGTTGAGTTTTATCTAGTAGAGCTACACGTTTTTGCATATTCACTTTAGCCTCATATATCCAAATTATCTTTACCTTTCTAACGTAGTCAATTCTCTTTTATATTAACTTCAATATGTACAGTTCGAGAAATTACAAGTTAATATCCAATATCAACATAACTTGTTAATATTAAGGATTTTTTGGCAAATTCTTAAGCAAACCCCCCCCCCCCCTTTTTCTCTCCTCTATCACCACTGAACCACCACTGGCACCACCTTCTGACTACCGCATCACCACTAACACCATCGCACGGCCACTACCACCACCAATCGACCACTACCACCACCAATCGACCACTGCACAGCCATTAGGCCCACTAGACGACCGTCGTACCTCAGCAAGCACCACCCTTTCTCTAAGGGGTTAGTATGGGCCCACTTTACACATGTCCTACTAGGGTGTCTTTTGTTTGGTTGGCCGGCTGGTTTAGACTCGCGATGGTGGTCGGATGGTCGGCAAGGCCATGGGAGGGGAGGAGAGAGAAGGAATAGTGGCCATGGGAGGGGATGGTTGGTAAGGCCATGGGAGGGGGGGGGGGAGAGAAGTGCTTTTATTTTCCAAAACGTCACTATATTAACAAGAAATGCTAATATAGGATATTAATGGGGACTAGCTCCTAGAGTTCCAACTCTCCTTCAAATAGTAGCATTACTGATTTATCTCTCAAAGTACAACCAGGTGCTGGAATTGTGTAACTTCTGCGTAATTTCCTCAGCCAATGCTTTAGATCAACACTGGTTTTTAGAGATTTTGGTGCAAAGTTGCGTAGATCCTCACCTTAAAAAATAAATAAATAAATAAAAAAAAAAACGAAGTAGCAAGGAGAACAACTCTAAATCTCTAACCACAGTTCAAACCTCACGGTTTTTTTGGTTCACAATTTACGGGCCAAGTACTTGAGAGTAGGGAGGAAATATAAGTATATCTCAACCTTAATCATCCTCAGTTGACAAGATTCGAACTCCAAACTTAAGGTGGGAATGATACTTCATAGATATTAGAAAATTTCAGAGTTGTTTGGTTGATAGAAAGAGGAAGTGTGACCTTTGTTCGAGTAGCAATTATTGAACTAATTTGTGTTCTAGTCAACAAACCAGTTCACAACCTTCGATCCTCAGCCTCAACGTATAATAGGCCACAATTGATTTTTGTAATCAAAGAAGCATATCACCTATAGTAAGGAGTATTTATCTCCCTATTATACCTTAAAATAATTCATCACGAAGTTATGTCAAAGTATAAATTTTGACATTTATGTATACTTGTATAGTCTAACAAGGGAAACAGAGTACTCCGTATTACATAGAGACGAAAGGGTTATTAACTTAATCTAAACCAACCTAGGATTATTTAAAAGTTCCACTGTCCAAATCCGCTATCTCCAAACCTTAAAGAAGGATCAAGCTGTAGACAGCTCCAGAAAGTCATTATAATTTATATAAGCCAAATGACAAGTCTCTCTCAAAGCTTATCATCGAAAGCAACAATTAAACATCAGCAAAGTGGTAAGGGGAAGAAATTAATCCTTGAGTAATCTTCCAGTGATATCACCACCTCATAGCAAAGACATATAATTGATTATTTGCATTTAAGTATTTATAACCTATCACACCAGAAGCTGTGATGTGAGCAAGTATATACATATTTATAAGATCTATTTTCCAGGGCATTTTAATGAAGACTGTACCAGGAAAACAAAATCAGTGGCCAAGTGTAAAACACTACTTCTGTTTTCTTTTAATATAAAACAGACTGCCAATCGCGATGCAGTTAGGTACACTAATCACTGCCTAATGACAGATATCTACCAATTACTAAGACTGAGGCAGTATTGAATTTGGCTGGTCATGTAACAAATGAATGCCCTATCAATTCTGCAAAATATTGTTCATATGACTGTAAAATGGTCAAGAACATTTTTAAATGGGGTATGGGCTCTAGGCGCCATAAAGAGGACAATAGTTGCATCACTAATCTGCCCGATTGAGGTTTGGTATCCATCCCAAAACCAATTGGCAATGGCATGAGTAATTACTTAGGCTTAAAAGGTGATTATTTATTTTTGTCTCCTCTCCAAATTACACAAGTACATAACACAAAGATGGGGGGTCAACAGTACTCAATATGGTGTCATGAAATAACAGTACAGTATTAAGTAACACATTATGTTAGGGTTACTATAATCAAGCCTCAAGATGTGCTTTAAATTGTTACATACCTGAAGAATACTCCACTGTCACAAAAATCTGCATAAGAATGTTCCTCATTGCAAATTAACAATTTCATACTTTGAAGGAGGATGCTAATTTATAGCCAACTAGAACCAGGAATCCTTGCTGACCCTATACGCTTCAAATTCTTCTTCATTTTATTAACATCATCCCACCGATCATTCAATGCATAAACATTGGCAAGAAGCGAGGTATAGCCAGCTTTATCGGATTCTAAATTGAAGCAGTGTTGTGCTGCAATCTCTGCAAGCTCAACATTGTTGTGTAATCTGCAAGCAAGAAGTAAGGCCCCCCAAACTCCAGAATGAGGTGGAATTGGCATGCTCTTGATTAGTTCATATGCTTCTTTTAACCTTCCAGCCCTTCCCAGGAGGTCAACCATGATTCCATAATGATCAGCCGAAGGCATCACCCCGAACTTACTCATCAAATTAAAGCACTGATAGCCTTCTTCAATGAGACCAGCGTGGTTATAAGCAGTCAAAATCCCTGTAAACGTGACTGAATTTGGTGAAATATTGACATTTAACATCTCTTCAAATAATCTAATAGCATCATGAGACTTGCCATTTATCCCACATCCTACTATCATAGCAGTATAAGCAACTAGGTCTTTCTTAGCAAGGCCATGGAATAACTCATAAGCTTTGTCAATACTTCCGCACTTGGCATACAAGTCTACTAGTGCTGTAGCCAGATGATCATCCACTTCAATGCCGAGTCTTCTCATATATGACTCTATCCAAGAACCATAATTCAAATCCCCTAACTGTGAACAAGCGGATATAACACTAGCCAAAGTCATCTTGTCAGGTTGATCAATCAACTTTCTCTCTAGGATGTCATTGAACAAATGGATTGCTTCCTTTGGTCGGCTATTCTGAGCATAGCAAGCAATCATGGAATTGAAAGAAAGCACATCTTTATTTGGCATATGGTTAAAAAGGTCCTGAGCAGCATCAACATCCCCGCATTTTGAGTAACCAGAAATGATACTTATCCAAGAAATATTGTTTCTTCGAGGCATATCATCAAAAAACTTCCGTGCCATATCCATATTCCCACATTCCACATACCCACTTATCATTGCATTCCAGGAGGCTAAATTTCTATCAAGCATCTGCTGGAATAAGAGAGATGCCTTATCCATATTCCCTGCCCTCGCATAGCCTGAAAGCATTGAGTTCCAAGAAACAATATCTTTGAGAGGCATTTTGTCAAACAACTGTTCTGCCATCGACAGGTCATATTTCAAATACCCTGCTAACAGCGAATTCCAAGAAACCACATTCTTCTGGTCTATCTCATCAAAGACCTTCTTGGCTGCCTTCATATCACCCAGTTTAGCATAAAAGTCCAGAAGAGCTGTTTGCGCATAGACACTCTGAAGGATTTCATATTTGTGAACCTGTGCATGAATGCATACGCCTCCAACCTTATAAGGAATTCGAGCACATGATCTCAAAGAAGATGAAGTTGAATATGTACTAGGACGCAATCCCAATTTTTGCATTTGAACATGAAGGAAGAATGCCTCTTTGAATTGCCCATGTTGAGCCAAAGAACGTATAACGCAAGACCAAGAAAAGCAATCGGGATGTGGCAGCTGGTGGAGGATGGTTTGGACATAACGAACAATAGCTGGAGTAAAGTTGAGGAGAGATGTAGCTAGTCGGCAAACCAGTTCATTCTCAAGATCACAAAGACTGTTGACAATAAGTTGAGCATGGATTTGCTTTGTTTGGTTCACTGTCAAACACTTGTTCAATAATGTACAGACTTGGGAGAGAGGCATACAGACAGTATCCGAAAACAACAAATTCTCAATAATAAATCCAACCTCTGAATTTACATCATCAAAAATATAGGCCGACCCAATTCCATTCCCGTCTAAAACCAATTTATGCCTATATTCTGGATGTAAAAAGGGAACCTTGCACGATCCTGCACTAGGGCGTCTCTTAAACTTGCTAATTCCATTTTCCCCTATCTGGTGACATTGAGACTACCGGAAGATACACAACCCCGACTTAAATCCTCCAACAGATCACAAGATTGAAAAGAAAGAAACAACACAAATCAATAAGATTGAAAAGCAGCAAAAAATTTAGAATAAGTGACAGTTTCATGTCTTCAATAACAATAATCACACTACACTTCCACTGAACCCATCCAACTTAACTTAGGATGTACTTTTAATCAACCTAAAACAAAAAAGAGCCCTGCAAAAAACAAATTCAGCAGAAAAATTCAAATAATCGATTTTTTTTTCAATAACAGAAATCTACCACCATAATTTTTCTCAACCATCTTGCTTAAATAGCCAAATTCAGAATCCAAAATAAATCATTAAATAAAAATAATAATAAATTGAACATGGCATAAATGGGGTATATAGGGTTACCAAAACAGACATTTGAATTAACATACAAAATATGAATTTATCAGCAATATGAAAAATAAATTCTCTCACAAAAACATGATTAACTCTTCATTAGTTCAACAAAATGCTAAACTTGAATTGCAACTCAAAGATTCTAGATTGCATATTTCAATTCCTAAACTATTTTTCCAATTATTATTTAACAGAAATCAATCAAACAACATAATATCTAAATATTAATTTCCCAAAATCTAACATTGTAAACTACAATAACAAAGTCATAGTAAAGTTTCAAGCTTTCACTAAAAAAAAAAAAAAAAACAGTAAAGTTTCGAGTTAAATTAAAGCCAAAAAACAGAAAAATTACCAGAAATCAGCATGATAAACCTCTGATTTGACTGTTGCTGGAGGTTGTCACGGCGAAGACAACACTTTGGCATGATTTTTCTTGATAAGCAACAACGGAGTTTGGAAAAATAATGGGGCTTCATAAATTTGGGCCGAGGCCCATTATTCACAATATGAGGTATGTGGCCTAATCTGCCCATCATTCTTTACCCTAAAGCCCATTTTTTTCTTTTTAGGTAGAAATTCATTTCACATTACAATTTTTGATAAACGAAGTAAGCTATAAATTACTCCCTCTATCTCACAAAGAAATCCTACTTCTCCTAGACACATGATTTTGTTAAGTGTAAGTTATAGAGAAAAAAAAAAAAGGTTTTGAGTATTGTTTATTGTTTTTTCAAATAGGGGGGACCATCATGCAATAAGGGAGTAAAGAGAAGATGAATGAAAAACATAATATTAAAATATTAAGTGAGCTACTGAGCTCAAATCAAGGGAGAAACCAAAATATTTTTTTCCGTGGGACGAACATTTAGAGAGAAACAAGATTTTGTGGGGGGCGAATAGAGGATATTGTAATTGGATTTACAATCATGTCACTTATTCATATGAATAATGAAGAAAAGTTAGCAAGGACCACTCTATAAAATTTTGGTAAAATATTAGCGGATTTCTAGACCATGATTTTTTGAATGAAAGTATGTGGGAGGAAAAAAAAAAGTGACCTTGACCTAGTGTAAAAGTTATTAAGTGAGACCTTTAGGAAAGGCAAGGTTACAAATGGAGTTTTGAAGCAATCTTAAGGTGTTAGGGTTCTTGAGTATGAAGATCTTGTAAAAGAAAAGGGTCCCTCACTTTTGAGAAGCTGCTCAACTAGTAATTTTTTTTAATTGGCATGTAGTAAATGTCATTGATTTAAGGTAGGAAAAATTGTGCATGCTTTAAGTTGGAATTGTGCTTAACATCAAAAAACATAAGAAGAAGCAATTTTCTAAGAAGTGGTAGATTTTGGATTTTTGTCAGTAATAGAGTATAAAAACCAATTGTGAGCTTCAACTATTAGCTTAAGTTTTTTATTGAGTTGGTCCTTTGATATGATACATATGTACTATTAGTCAATGTGACAAAAAAGATCATAAATCCAAATATCATTCATTCCTCCTTTTAAGCACTAATGAGTATGGGAAGGCTCATATTGAATCCACATTTCAAAGTTTATTCAATGACTCTCATGTAAGAGGACGTGATAAAGTATAAAAATTAATCGTGAATTGTGACTATTAACTTATGCTCTACTTCATGGGAAATCTAATATATATGTATATATATATACATATATACATATATATATATATATGTATGTATATATGTATGTATATATATATATATATATATATATGTGTGTGTATATATATGTGTGTATATATATATATATATATATATATATATATATATATATATGTATATATATATATATGTGTGTGTGTGTGTGTGTGTGTATATATATATACACACACATACACACACACACACATATATACACACACACACACACACACATATATATATATATATATATATATACACTACAATCGGATATATATATACACACACACACACATATATATATATAAAGGGGAGTTTTTTCCCGAGTTATTAGAGCGTCACTTAGAATTAATATTTTTAAAACGCTACAATCGGATTATGCCACGTAAGATTAGTTTTTTAAAAGCGCTATGTAGGATTATAATAAAGAAAACGCCACGTAAGATTAATAATTTTAAAATGCTACAATAAGATTATGCCACGTAAGATTAATTTTAGAGCATCATATAGTTATATTTTATCCAATGAAAAAAAAAATTGCAATTTATTTTAGATCAAAATTTTTAACTAATTATAAAAATAAAATTAGCGCGTTTTTTGTGTGGCTGGCCATATCGTGTGGCCAGCTGAGACAAACCCACACACTAACCGAGTAACCCCTGACCGTCCAAATAACCTTTGATCGATTGAGTAACCCTTGATCAACTAAGTAACTCCTGACCAAGTAATTCCGACCACATGGTGTGACCAGCCACATATGAAACTTTGTGAAATAAAATACTATCTTTTTATATTACAAATTTTATCTAAATATGAGAAACAAAGTTAATAATTCCTTTTATAATTAAAAATTCAAATAGTAAGCAAGCGAATATCACAAAGTTAATTAGATAAATATATATTTAGTAATATTTTATTTGAAAAAATACAAAACTTTAAGTCTAACGTTGGGCCTAAACCCTACATAAAAAAAATATGTATCTAGTGTTAATAGAAGAGATCACATATTTAACTTTGTGATTTTTTTTTTTTTTTTTTTTTTTTTTGAAAGAAAAGGTATACAAGAAGCTAGGATATTGTTCTCTCAAGACTATACCCTAACTTATCAGAATAGATAAAATAAGAAGAAAATTTACCATCTATGAATAGATCAATATCTTGATGAGCTTACATAAAATAGCCCGGAGAAGCAACATAGTCTGCTACTCTATTACCCTCTCTATAAAAGTGGTGCGACTCAACATAGGTGAAATATCAAAACAGCTCCTTGACATCTTCCATTAATAGCTGAATTTTCCATGGGCACTGAGCCTTTCCCTGCAAAATATATATCAATAATAAGTAAATTATCCTCTTCAATGAATACCTTTGACATATTATAGGCAATGCGCCAAAAGAGACACGTATGCTCCTAGGGGTAGGATGAGAAGAAAGAGCGAGAGCAGGAGTATCCAACGAATCGAGTCAAGAACGAAATTGCCATTCATGATAAAAATTTTGGGCTTGAGTAAAAATGGCCATATGAGAAAAATAAGTTTCATAAAAAATCACTAAAATGTTAACAATTTAATAACACAGTTCAATTTTTAAAGTAAAAGCATTATTATATATGATACTGTATATGAATACTAGCATTTCATACATTGAACCAAATTCATCCCTTTTTATGTTACAAATAAATCTAGTGTTTGCGACAAAGTCTTTCAGGTTAAGGATCAAGCTCCATATAAACCCCACAAGGCCACAATGAGTAGGAATATACTTAAAAGCATGCATTTTCCTTTTTTCTCCAAAACTAAATTTGAATTTAGGGTTATCTTATACTCGTATTGAGTCATTGACTTGAACCAAACTCAAGCTAACTCAAATCAACCACTTAACCACCTACTTAACTTAAAAATTAATGTGATTAAACAACCACTTACCACTTTTAATTAAAAAATTATGTATTAATTCAACTAAATGCAACTAATTTTTGAGAGCCAACATTATGGTTATTAGACAATTAGCTAATACAGCAAATAATGTGCATGTGTAGCTAATAAGACAACTTGGAGCTTATTAAAACAATTGTTTGTAGCCTGTTTCATGGAGTGGCTAGTTTTGTATCCAAATCGACGTGCTACCTGATACATGATTCAAAATTCATACATGATCCTTTACCATTGGATTACAATAGTCGTCGCATGATGTACCATGTTAAGTTTATATGCAGTTAGACTATCTCGTAATATAGGTTAGTGTTAACTTATTAATATTACACCAGTTACATGCTCGCGGCCAGACAGTCATTAAAGAACACAAACATATAAAATGAATCCATTGCCTTCATAAGCAGCTTGTATTGACCTTCTTTCTAAGGAAGGGGGTCAAGTAATCACGATGATCACCTTTTTTTTTTTTTTTTTTTTTTTTTTTTTTTTTTTTTTTTTTTAAAAAGCATCTTTAAATTGATTGGCATTCTTAGAAACAGTAAATCCCCCCTTTATCCGGAGCATGCATCAGTAAAAAAGCCAATTAAAGGTTTTAAAAGCAGTCAATCTCATCATAAGGAAATCTAAGTGACACTTCAACCACTAAGTCGTACTATTTGCTAAGCTATGTAAGGCATGAAAATGATAGATATGTTTATGCTATAAAAAGTCTACACTCCAAATCATTTATAGGCATATTCCGTCATGGTTGCAACAGTTTCATGTTTATCTGACTTCAATGAGAGTTAGATGTGAGGAAGCCATTTAGGTGTATGGGGTGTCACATAAACCGATACGATGATACCCGTTTAAATACTACATAATATATGATTTTAATATGTAGTAATTTTTTTCTTTTTCATAGATTTATATTTATACTTGTATGGAATAATTAACAAACATCCTAACTTTTCAAGACCAAAATATTGATTCGGAAAAAAAAAAAAAAAAAAAAAACAAAAAAGACCATAATATCAATACCCCATCTTTAAAATTTTGGCTCAACTCGCTAAGATTATCTTGCATGGCCCAAAGTAATAGTAATGGTGATCACTCTTGCATAGAAAGTGAAAAGATAGACAAGCAAATAACGGCCCACCTATTATTACACAAAGATTCGTATCTTTTCATCACTTTTACCCTTGCACTTACCTGATTTTGTTTAGTTTTTGGTTCTTGTAGATCCATCCAAAGATATGCATGATCCATATTTTTGTATATTTGTCGTTACATAAATTACACTAGTAAAAGAAGTGAGTCAGATCATCAAAATGTTGATAAGTTGTACATGTATCTTCTCTATTTACCTTGGAATTATGTTGCAAGTCGATAGATACATAGAAAGGACTAAAAATTATAACGACAGTTGCAAACTCTAACAAGTTGATATTATAAAATATACATTGAAATGAACTTAACAAGATTTCACTCGATTATATATCAATCACTATAGATGGTTAAAGAGTAATATGTGAAGCAATATGTCATATTATTGCAAGTAAAATGGAGCAAATGAAATATCTTGAAACATACAATGCAAGTATCATTTTAAATATACAACCATTATTATAGAAATGTGTAGGGTACACTATTGTACCTTTGTAACACTTATTGACTTATATATTGTGGGGGTAAATAAACGGTAAAAAGCTTACCAAGTATTATTAGAGCTTATAAAAGGTGTAACAAATAATGCTTTTTCATAGATTTGCGAAGCTCATGCGCTCCAGCCTTCTCCACTTGAAATAAGGTGGGGGTCAATTGTCGAAGTTAAAATGTGCTTTACAAATTGTTCACTCCTCATCATGCCTTGAAGTTTTTATGGATACATATGATCATTGGCCCCTTAAAATGAAGTGAGTAGTTTTGAAAAATATATCGCCCACATTATATATGTGGCAAATGGAGCTATGATGATTTTGAAGATGGGGTGTCAATTTTTATGTTCATGCATGGAGTGTCAAATAAATATAATTTATTTACTTCGTATAGGTAATTTTTTAAGAGATAGAACAAAATTATACAGGGGTGTCGGTTGACATTTCATGCATCTTATTAATTAATGGCTTCGTCATTGAATTGGCCACACACCTCCAAACACGACTTGAGAACTAAATCATGTTTTTTTTTTTTTTTTTTTTCTTTTTTTTTTTTTTTGGGTCTATCCTCCTGTTCTCTCATATAATTTCTTAGAGTTATCCTCAGCAAATTTTGTGAAGGTATTTTAGGTTTTTTGTTGTTTTTTTGT